ATATATATTATTGTCTCTCTCTGCATCACAACCTTGTTTTATGTATCAATCACATTTCTCATCATCAGTCAGAGAACTCTGGCTCTCCTAGTTATGTCACAATTGTACAAAGAAGATAGTCCTGTTTATTTTTGGATAATGAATGTATCTTGTTGTGCTCTTGTTATGGGTTGGGTTATTTGTTAGGGTTTTTTTTCTTCTTTTCTCTCTCTTTTCTTGTGGTGGCGGGGAGGGCAGGATTTCCTTGTTGCAGCAACAACCTCAGCAGAGTGACCGGAAAAAATATTGGACATTTTGTTTGAAGGTGGAGGCTTGCTTTGATATGCCAGCTTGTCCATGAAGGTTGAGTGGGACAAACGTTGGCTGTGTAAAGAAATATTCTTGAGAGGCATGAAGGTTGTCCATGGGGACGAACTAGTGATGTTTTTATGCCTGCAAATTAAGTTTTATCAGATTTTTTATTTGTCTCAAGTTCCCATTGTTTCGCTGAGAACAGTAGATATGATGGAGACAATAGTTATTGAGATTTAATTGAATTTTAATCAAGCCCCAAATTTCTTTCTTCTCTTTTCTTTAAAAAAAAAAAAGACAGCGTTCAGACAAGAAGGTTCTGGTTGTTACCACCTCAAAGTTATCCACTGTCATTTTTATGTTGTCTAAAGGATAGAGTGACACAGTGAATAAAGCAGTAGATCTGACACTGCTTCTCAGTTTTATGTATAAGTTTTATTAATTGAGGTGTTTGTTTTTGTAAAAGATCTTTTTTTTGTGGACTTTTTGATGTGTTTCCGGAGTTTCCTCTTCCACCTGTTGTGTTTTTTCACCGGGCGATCCCGTGAGGCGGTTGATGTTCAGGCAGTCAGGCTGCTACTGTCGGCGCCAGTGACTTCTCTTTTAGCATCTTTCATCGTCATGTGTGTTTGCTTGTGGGAGTGGTGTGTATGTAGTGGTGGTGGTGGGCATGAGAATTGTTAACTTCTCTTAAAGTCGGCCCCCTCTCTCCGTGCTTCTTTACTGTGACTGGCGTGACATGGCCTGACTGTCGGCAGAGTCCACGGGGAAGGGAAGGGGATGACAGGGGGGAGAGATACAAGGCCCAGATTTCACTGTGTCATTTTTCATCTCATTGTTTTGTTTATTAATTTTTTTAAACACATTGGACACCGATTCAATATTGGCACATCTTGTTTTTTATTTTTAACCTATGCTTTTTTTTTTGGCTCTTCAGAATATGAACTAGGCTTTCACCGTTTTTGAATTGATTTGTGATCTATTGTATATAGAATTACTTTTTTTGTATTGTTGGTTTTTTGGTATTGTGTTTGCATGCTTTGTTTCTTGGATTAGTTGTTTCTGCAAAAGTGTCTGCATTGAGATTGAGCTCGATTTACAATGCGATTTTCATGGTTTCTAGAAGATCCTGTCTGGTATTTTTTTATTGAAAAAAGTAATTTTTCTGTCATCACACTGTGGGTGTGAGCTGTCTGTCTGATCCCACTCAGTACAACCAGATTTTTCTCTTTTCTGCAGAAGTTCGAAGAAAAAAAGAAAGAAAAAGAATTTGGTAGTTTTAACTTATTTTCTCCTTGTTTTCTGTTCTGAACATAATGGAATTTTAGGGATACTTAAAAAAAATATTATGCACATGAAATTGAATTTTTGACTGGGTTTCCAGAAAGTTCCAAGCATTGTAGTTGAGATGTTTTCCATTTTGTCAATTGGGAAGGTCGTGGAGAGTGAGGCTGTGTGGCACAAGACGGGTGTTGTTGTCCTGCAGGGCACACTCTCCTTGACCGCCGGCGTTAGGTTGTTGTGGAGCCACAAGGCTGTCCAGTCATTTGCTGGTGATTTTTCAGAGGGCGTTTTTAGCTGTTCTTACATGATTTAATGTTTTGGTTTAGTTGGAATTGAAAGATTTTGGTTTCTTCGTGCACAGCCAAAAAATCGTGTTTTTTTCCCCCTTTCTCCTTGCACATGCACAAGTTGTTTCCACTGCCCAATTCTGTGTGACAGCGAGGTCAGACCTTTTTATTCTGTGGTCCCCAGTGTGTGTATATGTTTTGTGACTTTGAATTGAAAGATACACACATCCTGTTAGCTATCACTTTGGGATATGCCAACAAATCTGGTCTTGTTTACGTGAACACAGCACATGAGACTGCATTATTTGAGCCCGGGGTACGTGTCAAATTGAGCAATATAGACAAAATAGCGCTGCTGAAAGTAGATTATGAGTGCTCTATTGTGGCGTGGATTGTTTCCTGTGGTATCATAAAAAATGAGGAAGGGATGTAGAAGTGAGTACAGGCCTAAAATTCCGTCCGAAATGCTCATATTTGTGAATGTTTGTGGAAGAAGTAGCTAGACATTCACTGGGTAGATTTAGTCACGTGGTTTCAGTGCAACTTGCTCATTCACACAAGACGCGCGAGTGTCTCGGCTTCTCGGAGCTGTTCTCTCAGACTACTGTATAGCATTATCTAAAAGTCTTGAAGTGGACTACCTTGCTCTTCTGGCAAGTCTAGCTTAACGCAACATTTTTTCGTATCATTACTACCACATTCCATAGACTAAACACCATAATGCTAGTGCAGTATTTATATATCTATATATATATATTGTATATGTACGTACACATGCTATTTTATTTTAAGTATAAAGGAAATAGTGTTCTATTGGTATTTTTAAAGTTACAATAGCTTTCCTGAGCATTAGGGACATATTTGTTGCTTAAAGTTAAAGCATTTTTTTGAGTTTTGCCTGAAGAGTCAGCTGCTATCTTCTCTTTCATAGATATCTTGCTTCATGGTGACAATTTTTGCCAGTGACAAAAAATAAGGTGTTCCTTTGTGTTGATCTCGTTCTGATCTTGTCAGTGCGTGAATATATATAAAAATCTTTCAACGTGTACACACATCACATATGTGTATTTTTTTGTTGTTGTTGTTTCCCCTGAGATCCCCTTGTACAAAACCGGCATAGCAGATTGCTGCTCAGCAGAAGATGTGGCACGATATTGATATTGTCTGTTATTGGTCCTGGTGCATGCTCTCTCTCGTGTGGTGTATAGAGAGAAACACAAAGCGATGTTGTCCCCCTACCCCTGTCAAATGCCATCTCTTTTTTTGCCATATCGTGCCGTCTCTTGTTCTGAGCTTTTTCTTATCACATTACTGTTCTACTGAGGACACTGGTGTGTATATTGTGAGAGGGGTCCCCAGGGGCTGATCTGTGAAATACATTAAGTGTGGAGGAACAGAAGATTAAAAATCTTTTAAAGATATTATTGTGGTCTTGAAGACAGGTGTATTATAATTATTTTAAATGAAAGATTGCCCAATAGTCAATGATACAAGTACTTTATTAATTTTTAAGAACAACTTTTATGAAATTCCAAGAATACTGATGAAGGAACTGCAAGAAAAGTTCTGAAGTAGTTATTCGAAACAAGAGTTTAAAAAAATAAGAAATGCATGTTTCTGACATGGCTCTGGTATTCACAGTACCCCTAAACTTGAAAGCTTGAAAGCTTGTTGGACATGGTAGGTGAGAGGCTGTAGTTGATGTAGGTCACCTCAAAACGTGTTGTTAGCAAGCTGTTGAGATAGATGGAAGACCAAAATTTTGAACATTTGTGTTTTTTAAAAAGTATCTTAATTTGTGGTATTGGTTGCTTATGCTCATGAAATATTTTTTCGAAATTTAAATTCTAAATGTTGTGAGAAGAAAAAAAGCAAGAAAAAAGAGCACATTATTTAGGTACAATTGTGTAAAAAAGGAAACAGGTTTTTTTTTTCTCTCTTGAAAAATTTTGTTTTCTGGACTTACTATATATTTGAACAGCTTGCTTACTGTATGTGCTATGTTGTTATATGAGATTTTTCCTGCTGTTGGTGTTTGTTGGTGGTGGCCATGGCTGCCCTCTGTCCAGTGAAAAGATTTGTCTGCACCAGCTGAAACTGTTGTGTGTGTGTTTGGGAGGGGAGGAGGGTGTCCCTATTTCAATATGCACACCAGAGGTTTCCTGTACAGAAGTGTATTATTTGTCCTGTGACACTTTTCATTCGGCATTGGTGAATTGTTTGCCTTGGCAATGTTTTGTTTTTCTCACAGTTTCCGAGTCTCATTCTAACATTTGGCAT